TCACTCTTAAGTGAGCTCAAGAAGGAGTAAAGTTAGAGCTGACTAATCCTTTAACTATAACAGTAGCTAATGGAGAGAGATTATATAACAATGCTAGATGTAAAAAGCTAAATGCTAGATGTAAAAAGCTAACTTGCTTATTGTAAGGACATGTTTTCTCACATGATTTGAGAGTATTATCGATAAGGGGTAATGATATGGTTTTTAGGGTTATTTGGATGAAAAGGTATAGTCCTTTGGTGTTCAATTTTAATGAGCTATATATGATCTTTCAAAAAGAGGGCCCCGTAAATGACATTACGAAAAAGTAAAAAGCAACAAGGTATAAAGCTTATTATTAGTAAAAAATTACAAAAAATGGCTAGTATGGACTTAGACAAATTGAGAGCTTATATGATCAATGTAGATTGTATGAAAGAAGATACTCCTCCTGAACTGTAAGAATTGCTCATTGTTTATTCTAACAGCTTTAAGGAACCAACAAGACTACCACCAACTTAATCCGTATGACCATAGTACACCCTTTAAGGAAAGGTCTCAACTTGTAAATTTGAGGCCATATAGGTTTCCTTGCCACCAAAAAACTAAAATGGAAAGAAAGATTTCAAAAATGTTATCTTCATCTATTATTCAGACTAGTAGAAGTCCATTTGGCTTCACCATGTCTATTGGTAAGGAAGAAAGATGGTACATAAAGGTTGTGTATTGACTATAGGCAACTTAATGGAATAATAGTTAAAGACAAGTTTCTAATTCAAATAGTGGAAAACTTGTTAGATGAATTAAAAGGTGCCAAATATTTCTCCAAAATTGATTTACAATCAGGATATTGGCATATCAAAGTTAAAACCGAGGACATCCCTAAAACAAACCTTAGGACTCATCATGGACATTATGAGTTTAAGGCAATGTCATTCAGGCTTACCAATGCACCTACCACTTTCCAATCATTGATGAATGATGTATTTTGTTAAATATCTAAAAAAGTTTGTGTTCATATTTTTTAATGATATATTGGTTTATAGCACTACTCTGGAGAAACATATCTTACACTTGAAACTTGTCTTTGAGGTTTGAAACTTCATTGCTTATTTGCCAAGAAAAATAAATGTTGTTTTAGTCAAAATAGATTAAGTATCAATCATATCATTTCAACAGATAGGGTTGCAACTGATGTTATCGAGATAATAGTAATAATGAATTGGCCATTTTCTAAATGTCTAAAATCTCTAAGAGGGTTTTTAGATTGACTAGCTATTATAAAAAAATTTGTTAAGGGATATGGAATGATAAGTAAGTCCTTGATAGACATGTTGAAAAAAAATGGATTTCATTGGTCAAATGCAACAACAATAGCATTTCAAACTTAAAGAAGCAATGAACAAAGCCCCAATACTTATATTATAAGATTTTTTTAAGCTCTTCTACCTAGAAATGGATGCTTGCTCTTTAGGAATATAAGCAGTTTTGTCGCAAAAAAAAAAGGTTTATTACCTATTTGAGTAATATCTTAGGTTCTTAACACATTGACTTATCTATCTATGAGAAAAAGTATGTAGCTATTTTGACGGCAGTTTTCTAAGTGGAGACACTATCTTGAAGGTGGACCATTCATTGTCAAGACATATGAGGCCTTGAAATATCTCTTCAAGTAGGGCTGTCTACCAATATTCAGAAGAAAGAACTTACCAAGTTGTTAGGTTTGAATTACACTATTTAATACAGGAAAGGTAAAATGAATATAGTAGCAAATGCTTTATGGAGGCAACATAAAAAAAAAAAAGGTTGTACATTCTGCATTCAACCACTTTTATGCCTAAAAGGGTAACTGAAGTGGAATAGAGTTATGTAAGAGATATAATTACTCAAAAAAAGATCATAACTCTTACTATAAATCCTGCAAGTGATCCCGACTACTCTTTTAGTAATGAAGTACTTAAGTACAAAGGCAGGGTTTATCTTGAAAATAAGATATATTGAGAACTCAAGTATTGCAATTATTTTATATTCACCTTAAAGAGGTCATTTAGGAATCCTATCAACCTATTATAAACTTAAACTCTATTTTTATTGGCTTCAGATGATGAAGTAAGTACAAGACTATATGCAACAGTGTGACGTGTGTCAAAGGAATAAAAATCAGCATGTTACTTATCTTAGGTTACTACATCCAATTCTAATTTCTACACAGACTTGAGAAATGATCACTATAGACTTTGTGAAAGGACTACCTCAATCTCATAAATTTAATTGTATTATGGTTATCATTGACAAATTTACCAAATATGCACATTTATCATCCCTACATTACTTTAAATGTGGCTAAGGCATACTTAAGTCAAATTCATAAACTTCATGAAGCTCCAAAGGTTGTTATATCAGATAAGGATAAGCTTTTCACCAAATCTATGTGGTAGGAATTGGTGAAGCTATTAGGTACTTCTTTTGAGCAATACCTAAGGCGTATGTGTTTCCTTAAGCTGAAAACTTGGATTCAATGGCTACTTTTAGCTAAGTGGTGGTGCAATACTAGCAATCATATTGCCATAAACTCTCTTCTGAGCTTTGTATGGATATCCACCTCTTAGTTTTTCTTGGAATGTTAGTAATGAAGTAAAGGTATCCATTATGGAAGACTGCTTAAAGAGAAAGAAAATTTGAATAAGCTACTGGTTAATCAATTGGGAAAAGTTCAACATAGGATGAAGTTTTATGTTATAACAAAAGACTAAAAAGGAGTTTCAGGTAGGAGATGCAGTGTATTTGAATCTATAGCTTTACAAGTAGACTTTTTTTATGTTAAGAAAAAATTTAAAGCTTTCATCAATGTATTATGGTCCTTATCTTGTAGTTGTAAAGATTGAAAAAATAGCTTATAAGTTGCAGTTACCAAAATTTTCAAAATTGCATCTTTTTTTTCATGTTAGCATATTAAAGAAAAAGGTTGGCATTAAAGATGTCCTTAGTATAGCACCTCCTGAAATGGGCGAGGATGGTCAGCCACAGTATATCTAGCTATTGTGCTTGATAAGCGAATGGTAAAGAGAAATAACAAGCTAATCACTCAATTACTAGTGGAGCGGTCTAATATAGGTCAAGAGAATGCTACATGGGTGGATTTCTCAGTCTTTAAATCTTAATTTCCACTTTTTGATCCTTGGGGACAAGAATGCTCTCAAGGTAATGTGATGAAGTTATAAGCTAACAAAAATGATAGAGCCAAGAAAGAAGACAACGTGGGGTTAAGAAGGAACTTTAATATTGACAAGGATACTACTAAGGGGCTAAAAGAAACTAGCAATATAGATGATGCAAAGGAGTTGAGAATGGCATTATGCTATTAAGCCAATTATTTATAGTGAGTATATGTGCAGGAATAGTAGTTACTAAAATAACAACTGTATTATTGGTTATAATTCACGAATTATAACTGTCATGTATATGCACATTTTCAATATGAATGAGAAATCACAATTTTCTTGCTCTCATATCTCTCTTTTTTTTAGTCTTAACCTTCTTTCTTTTGGTCTATTACTTTCTTCTCTTCTTTGGATTAATCTCTGGTTAATTCAATAGCATCATTATATTAAAAAGACTTTAGGGGTTTTAGATTTGGGGCGAATGAAAATTGAGGATTTTAGATTTAATATTGAGGTTATGGTTATGTTTTCATTGGTTGGTTTTTCTTTTAAATGGGGATGAAGTTACAAATGTATCATTAAATAAAAATCTATTAAAATAACTTGATTAATTCAATCAATTTGATTATTAAAAAACCAATAATGGACCAATTTAATCAAATAAACCAATAAAAAATGAATAAAATCAAAATCGATTAAATCGAATCGAATTAATCAAATGCAACTAATTTCGATCATTTAAATCGATTGAAACCCAATTTTGCTCACCTTAACGAAGGAAACTTGGGGTTGATTGCTGGCGTATTTGTGAAATGCGACTGGTGCTTTCATTTCCTGTAAAACGTAGAACTTGTACTTTAAATCAATATTTGAGAGGAATTTTTTTAAAGGCATAAAGGGAAAAAAATCCTATGTATAAGGATGATGAAGAAGTGGCTTGCTTTCCAAGAATATGTTGTGAGGTGTCGGGTGTGGAATTACATATAAATCTTATCTAAATTGAATTTCAATTGGTTGCAAGATTTCTTCACTTTGCCAATATTTTGCTAAATCCTAATTATATGAATTCTAAAAATAAACAATTCACTTTAAAGGTTTTTTTTTTTTAAATGTAAAAGAGAATATATATAAAAAAAAAAAAAAGGTTCATATGGTATCCGGCCCAAAACTACTTTTGACTGCCATTATTTAGCTCCACAAGGATCATTTAAACAAGGATCCAAGTGTGCTAATGTTATCAACACTTAAAAGTCATTTTATATTTAACTCAAGCGGTTAAGTGTAAATAAAAATTTGTCCCCAAGCCTTTAACCTAGTGATTAATTACGTTTGAAAGGACATCAAATGTTTGATTTCGAATCAAACCTCTCCATTTTCCCTTACTTGTATTAAAACTTTGTCCTTCTGATGTAAAAAAAAAAAAGTGTGAAAAAGGATCTTAAATTTCAAGTGTAATCCGTAATATTAAAATACATAAATTATGATAAAATAAAATAAGATGATATTATAAATAAAATTAAATTAAATAATATTATTTTATTTTATATTTAATGTGTGTAAAAATTAAATTAAAATAATTTATTTATTAATTAAAATTATCTTTTTTTAAAGTTTATACAATTTAAATTATTAATATAATTTTTAAAAATATAATAAAACATATAAATTTAATTTCATAGATAAAAAATAAATTTTTTTATGTTAAAAAGATAAAATCATCTTATATAAAAAAAAATGATAATCCTCCTTATAATCTTATCATTTTTAATTAAATATAAATTAAAAATAATATAAAATAATTATTATCGTATCCTATCCTATCTTATCATATCTATCATCTTTAGAATCAAAGATGACTTAAAAATTTTCGCACATAGTTATCATATCCGGGTCACCCGTACTCCGGCTACAAGGGTATGATTTATTCTTTCCCAATTTTTTTTGACCTCGTAGGAGAAGCCTTGTAGAAACAACATTGACCATCACTCAAACATCATGCAGATGCAAGGGCAAATGATACAGAATGATTTAATAGTGTGATAGCAGCCTTGACCCACATCCAAATACTATTATTGTAGCAATCAGGAATTAGTACAGTGGTTTACCTGAATTGAGCCATATGATTGTCCTACTAACAGGAAAACATGCCACAGTAGTTGTGCTACTTTTGGTCTTACAGACATAAAAAAGATAACCTGATTTGCTCTAAACTCAGCTTTGTAACAACCACAGACACTAATATAATGTGCAAATCCTATAATTACAATCATAAACATCAGTCAAGATAACCATTTTCCGGAATCAGAATGAGAAAAACATGAAGCAGCCATAAGCAGGATCAATCGCAGAAGAAACCAATGGTTACTTTCATTTCAGCCTAAATCCAACAAAATTATTATAGAAAAACAGAATAGTAACAATAATTAAAAAACACCAATAGTACGAGATGATAAAATAGATCCAATCTTTACCATAAAACAAAGCTTAAAAACTACACAAATCTCAAAATCTTCAAAAATAACAAAAAACCAGATCTCAAAACCTTAACTTCGTGAAAAACCACCTGTTTTTCCCAGTTTTAAACCTCTCCTCAAGCTTCTCCTTGGTAGCCTTACAAGCAGACACTTTCTTGTCCTTGCTCTGAAGACAGTCGACAGCCACCACATCCTTCAAATCCACATCCAGAGTGTAACGCGTGGGCATCACGTGCTGGTAATTGACGAGCTTGAGGAAGCATTTCACACGAGATTTCTTGGCTGTCTTCTTGGAAGAATCCTTGCGGATAACCTTATTTGGGTATTTCTTAATCCCTGCAACCAAACAGTGACCGTAAGGGCGGTCGCGGGTCCCTTCGTCGAAGGATTTGACTATCACTGCCTTCCGACCGGCGTAGCGACCCTGGAGGACGATCACGGCCTTGTTTGGCTTCAGGAACTTCACCATGGCTGCTGCTCCTCTTCGCTGTTATTTTCACTCGATTTTGCTCTCTAAAATGCACCAGCAGCCGAAATGAAACCCTAGCTCCTTACCTGTATGAAAATTGATGGGCTCCTCTGTTTAGATACTCTTGGGTCTAAACTGGATTGAGCCTTATGATTTGATCTTAGCCGCCCATTTTTGTTAAATTCTTCATTTAACACACACGACGAATCTAGCCGTTGAAAATCCTATCAAAAAGGGTTTAGAATTGAAATAGAATAATTGAAAGTATACCGTCAAGGGTCAAATTATCTTACTAAATTTAAAAATTTATTCAAATTTTAAAAGGGTTTAAATAAAAATTTAAAGCTCATTGAACGAATTTAGATATAATTTTTAAACTTATTTAAATTTCAAGTAGGATCTTAGACAAAAAAATTAAAATCTGAATTTAACTTAAGTAGATCGGAATAAACTATATATAATTAAAATATTATAGCTATATAAATATATATGTGTGAATTTTTATTTTTTATATTTTATTTTAAGAAAAGATTTTTTATTTTTTATTATATAAATTAATTTTAATAAATGGATTTGGAATTTATTTTTTCAATCTGGACTAAGATTGAAAAAATTTTGAGACTCGAAATATTGGGTCTGACCTTATTCATAAATACTTCTAACTAAGAGGCATAAGATCAAAATAAGATTTTGTTCAAAAATTGAGGGATACAATTCACATCCTAACATTTTCTTTGTACAACCTAATAATTATATTATAAATTTAACTTTAAATGAAATTATTTAAATATCCATTATTAAATTACTTTTTTGTTTTCTTTCACCCTTATTCATCTTCTCTTCTCTTATTCTTTTTTTTCCTTTTTTTTTTCTTTTTTCTTCCTAGCAACTTTCACATTATGGTCAAAATTTACAACCAAAATTTGTAAAAGTAATTGTAATATCCTATATATTGTGAAAATGGAAAGTAAATTTGAGAAAAATATCTACAAAAATGAAGATTTCAAATATAAAGATTGAGTAAGCTAATTTTATCCCTAAATTCGCACTTTCTGAAATCACATTTTTGAAACATAACTTTAGTATCAAGAAATTCATTTTCTAAAATATCCATATGTATCTAGATATGAGTTATCGAAAATGAATTTTTAGAAGAATCTTTATAATACTGGATATACATATCCGAGATTGTTTAGTAATTTTTAGGAATTCATTTCCATAAACAGCATGTAATACATCATAAATTTATTTTTGGAAATGTAAGCAATTTACCAAAAATTCATTTTCGAAAACTTATGCAATGTATAAAAAATGCATTTTTGGTTTTTGGGAAAAGTATACAACGAACCAAAAATGCATTTTCGAAAGTAATATTTTTTAATTTTTTTATTAACATGCAAAATGATTTGGGAACTACACTAATAGAGTAGAATGAATCACCATAGAATTTGGATACAAAACATTATTGTAGTTTTTCATTTACTACTGAAAAGGTAAGATTATATTTTTAAAGTAATATTTAGGAGGCATAAAAGATTATGTTTTTAATATTAGTTTATCTAGATACAAAATGTGAAAATTCAAATTGTTGTGCAGGTGTTTTGTAGTAAAGAAGCATTGATTTCTTAGGTAAGACGAGTAGAAAAAGTTATTGGTTTTATGATTATGATTAAAAACTCTGATTTGAAAGGTCTAGGCAAAAAACCTAGAATAAGATTAGCCTGTGAACGCAATGGAAAATATAAACAGCAAAATAATAAAGCAAAGGTATAAAAAATGCAATGTAAGAGAACGAGAACAAAGAAGTGTAATTGCCCATTTCAATTATATGGCTTTAAATTGGCAAGCGAAGATGAGTGAGGTGTGAAGGTAGTCTATGGGTTTTATAATCATTTATTAGTAAAACAATTATAGGGATATTCATTTGCAGGTTGATTATTTGACAAAGAAAAGACAGTGGTGGTTGATATGACAAATATTATAGTTAAACCTAGGAACACATAATGAGAAAATTTTCAGCACTATAAAGATTATGTACAATAAGCATCATAAAAACAATTATGTTGAGAAAGCTAATAGGTCACAAATGTAATAACTCATGAAAAAGTTGTCTGATTATAAATACATAGAGTGGCATAAGACTAACAAGCCAAACGATTGTATGAGAGATTTGTTTTAGGTTTATCTTATTGGTATAGATTTGTTGCATGCCTTTTCAAGTGTCATGATTATGGATTGCAACTATAAAATGAACAGTTTCCACTTACTTGAGATTATTGATGTGACTTTCATTGAGATGATATTTTTTATTGCATTTGTGTACATGAAGGCCGAGTGCTATAACAACTATAGTTAGACATTATTGACATTAAAAGGTTTGATACTTTATAGTATATATCCTAATGTCATTGTTACTGATAGAGATTTGCCATTGATGAATACAATAAAGGCTATGTTTTCCAATACAACAAATTTTTTTGTGCAGATTGTATATCTCAAGAAACATGCTTGCGAATTGTAATAAGTTTTTTAAATGAAAAGAAAAGTACGAGGCATTCATGGCAAGTTAGAGTATCCTTGTGTTCTCTTTTATCGATGATGAGTGCAAAAGACATCTAAGTTCATTGGAGATTGATTACTAGAGTTATTTGGATGCAATCAAGTATATGAAAGAGTAATGGTCAACAAAATATAATGAGTGATTTGTTGTTGGTTGGAAATGTTACAACAAATAGGTATGATTTGATTTGATAAAGTAAAGCACTTTGAAATGTTACAACAAATAGTATAGTTTGGTGTTTTTTTTATTAAGATTATTTAGATTTGCATAATTCATAACAAGACATTCGTTCTAATATACCTTTATTAATTCATTTAGGATTGAGAGTACACATTTAAAATTGAAGAGAAATCTTTGATCATTTCAAGGAGATTTTGAATTATCATAGAGTATAATTAACACCCTTATTGAGTTACAGCATATAGAGATAAAGACTTTATTTAATAGAAGTTTTACGATTGTTGAACATACTTAGAAGTCTTCATTGTTTAAAAAGTTATGAGATTTGATATCTAAAAGAGCATTTAATATGATATTCATAGAGGTAAAGTAAGTAAATCACATTGAGAATAAAAAGCACTGTTGTTGTTGTGCTATCAGATGCACATATAGAATACCTTGTGCATACAAAAATATAAAGCACATAAGGGTGAAAATTTCAATTTCTTTATTTGAAATGCATCATTGTTAGAATAAGTTTCGATTTAATAAAAAGCCCAGTGGATGAAATATCTAAAAAGTTGACCATTATATTAAGGTTGAACGAAACATAAATGCTTTAACGATTGTGATGAGTTTGATAATTAACCGTAAAAAGAAGTTGTAAAACCTAAGTGTTCTAACAATAACTGCATTGATTCCACCACTATAGATTGCTAAGACAAAAGGTTATAGAGTTAATGAAGCAAATAAATCTACACAACATGACCTGTCACATTAGAAGATTGTGTTATTTCTACAGGATAGTACATCACTACTAACCACCATGAATTTAGTGAAAATGACAACACAAATTGATAAACTTTTGTTTAACGTTCTTATGATAAACAAAAAAATGTAATATTTGTCTAGTTTTCTGGTGTAGTTACATCCATATATACAAACCATCATTGATGTTGAGGTAGATGGATATTGTTGTTTTCATTTTATTAATGGATTACTTGGATTGGGTATAGATGTTTACGTATAAATGCGACAAGATTTAATTGATGAGTTGATTTAATATCGAGGTGAATGTCACATTGTATGAATCCATAAAGCGTATTAAAGAATTGGTAGAAACCTTATTGTCTTTGGATACTTGTGCCTCATACAAAAAATGGATAAACTTACCTGATATAGGTCATTTGATTGCCTCAAAATATAATGTTATGCTAGTGCACATCGATTTGAGATAGTGCTTTGTCTATCTTGTTATTAGATTTATACCATTTGTACCATTAGAGCACACAGTCATTACGATTAAATTTGTAAATGATTATCATTTTATGCAGGTATCATTAATTGGATTTGATATTTATCATTTCGATTATTTATAATCACATTATAATTGATACTTATCATATTTATTTATTTTGTGTAAGTGTTCGTGAAGCTGTTCTTATCAATACCTTCGATTGTATACAACTGAAATAGGATTTAATATGAATGTGCTAGAGGATAAGAGGCTTTATATGTAACGCGCATCAATGATTTTAAGTTATTGTTTAGCAAAAACTATGATGTAGCCACATAAGAAACAATTCAAACTTATTGATAACTTTATATGAACATTTTTTATTTATTAATATGTTTTATTTGATGTTTTTTATTTTTATGTTTTGCAAGTTCATCAATGCATATTTTATTTAATAACTTCTTTAATGCATATATTATATGTCAAGATCATATATGCCAACATAAAATAACAATATCATGCAAAAATACAATTATAATAACAAATTAATGTACGTTTAAAGTATACAAAAAAGTCCTACTTCCTAACCCTAGGTTTCTTAAATTGAACATATACATGTTGTGATGGAGCAGGCGATGTTGACTTTGATATTGAGGGATCGAAAGGTGTTGCTATTAATGCTAAAGGTGAGGAGTGCGGAAAATTAAGCAGTGCTATGGTTGGTGCTAGAGATGAGGAGTTCAAGAAATTGGGCGATGCTACCATTGGTGTTGAAGGTGAGGAACGAAAGGAATTTGGCAACATTGTAGTCAATGCTGGAGGTTAAGAGCATGGGAGATTGGGTATTGGAATCAAAGATGGTCAAAGAGTTGATGTATGCCATGATAGACCTAGTATAGATGCCCTAGTTAGACCTATCATTGATAACCCATACAAGATGGTATATGCTCTAAAAATCGCATCTCTCAATATATTAACCCCTGATGTAAACCACTAAAAATAGCACTATGAAGAACTACTAATGCCTGCAAGTTCACTTACAAAATTTTAATAAGGAAAATCAATATCCAAAACATGTAATTAATATTGTATAAGTAATTACTGCTAAACTTATGACTTACCATATCCTTGGTAAACCTACTAATAACCATGGCAAATTGAAATTTGGATCTATACATAAGATTATAAATGTGCTGATGAGAAATTGATGCATATTAAGCATTATAATTTGGTTAAAACTCATACTGTGTAGCACATTGATGCCCTTGACAATCAATAGATAGAACATGTATATCCCATCACTCTCAAACTAATGCAAAAAATTATATGCAACATCGAACGTGCTGGAAGATGCACCTTAGTCAGCTCGACATAGAGTTAAAGAGATTGGAGGAATGGTTTGTATGTAACCAAACTGTTGTAACATGTTCTCTAGATGATATGGCTTAACGATAGCCCTACACTTCATACATTCAAAAAAATAAGCAATATTCGATAATTAATGATGCTGTTGTTATGTCTCATAAAGGCTTTAACACACTTGAGCTAAAGACAAGGCATCTAGTGGCCCCATAGTTGCTTTAATGAATTAGTATACATACAGGGCTTCTATTGTTGAGCACGAGGCTCATGATTAGAATATCCTAATATTGGCTACTGAAACAAGCATCGAAAAGTGCTCATAAATCCATACATGCATTTATATTAAACAAACATAAATAATATGTTATATAAAATCAAATAAACAAATATAACTAATTTATAAATCATTAAACTAATGTAATATAGATATTTGAAGAAGTGTAATATAACTAGCAATCTGATGAACCTGAGCTCTACTCACTATACCAAACTGCCTTTATAAATACATTAAGCAAGCTGTCCCCCAAGCTTATGTATTGGTTGTGCTTAAGTTATTTAATAGATATAAGTATGCAACTGATACTTTATCTTCACTTTTGTCGACAAATAATGTGTAACCTAAAAAGATGGAGTAACAAAGCTTTGGTAACACACTCCATATCTCGATCAGAAGTGCTATCAGTAACATTTTTAAATGTATCCTATAACTATTATAGTTTGACAAATGCACCATGAGGAGTTCTAGTCTTATTGGCTACCATAGCCTCTGATACTCTAAGCAATCTCACTAATAATGAATTCACCTCATATGTCGCCAACTATGAATACGCTGTCGAAAAGATTTAGAGGCCAATACTGTAACTTTACCTTATGGTTGATTACTTTTAAAGCACCTCACTCTTATACCAACAATAATAAATAAAAACTAATTATTAATTTTGTGCACATTAAGTAACAAAAATAAGCATCGGTCCTATTGAATTTTTTACCTGACCATTCCATATTAATGCTACGATATGAGTGCTAAAGTTTTGAAGCAAAGAAGCATTCATCGACTTTCTAAGAAATGGCACTAGGGGATGAACAACAAATTATACAAGATAACCATCCCGCTGCTTTGCGGGCTATTCTGTTGAATTAATAACAAGCTTATATGCATGTTTATCAACTTGTCATTTCCTTTCAAAGATAGTCAGATGCTTTCGAATATCACTTGAAACATGTCCCTCATCTCGACCAGTGCTAGCTCCTATCGTTCACGCCATATATGTTTTTACATATTATATAGTCAACACATTAGCTCTTAAAGCAAATATACAATACTCAATGAGTACATAATCATATATACATAGAAAATGAAATTATTGTGGATTTTTTAAGTTTCTAGATATACGGTGTCGACATTTGTAAGGGTTTTCCAAAAATTCATGTTCGGACACCTTTAAGAGTTTTCAGAAATGAATATTCGAAAACTCGTAAAGATTTTGGACATATATTTCCGAAAACCTTTAAGGGTTTTGAAAATGAATATCTAAAAACTCTTAAAAGATTGCGGAAATGAATGTATGAAAATCTTTTTAATATTTCAAAAATTTTGAAAATACATTTTCAAAATATTAGAAAATTTTTTAAACATTCATTTTTGGAACCTATGAATCACAATGAAAGTTTTTTAAATGCAACACTAATTTTTTTAAAATTTAACACAAAATCAAATGAACTAAACACAAAAACAAACGAATTACTTCTAATTAGAGGCTTTATAACTTGATTTCCCTTAATTTCCTTTGAATTTAGGTTGATTTTTGTTTAGGGTTTGGGTTTGAGGGAAAAGAGAAGGGAAGAGGTGTGAAGGAGAAGGAGAAGGAGAAAGAGGATGGGGTGAGTGATTCGTTTTTTTTTTTGAAAATTTGAATTTTGAGTGAGAGGTGTAGTAAGTAAAAAATGAGATGTTAAAAAGCAACGTGATGTTAAAAGCAAAGGTGTGAATAGAACCCCTTTAAAAATATTTTGTATTAAAAGCAATATGATAATAATATTAAGTATGAGGAAACTCAATATTAAATTTTACCATTATATTTCAATTTTATTAAATTTTCATTAAATTTGTTTGATTTTTGAAAATATTTTAATTTTCTATTTTGGGACAAAAATTACAAAATATCAAATATTTCACACAATATTCTATTAATACAATTGACAATTTTTTCACTTAATTTTCTATGTCATTGATTTTTGAACAAAAAGCAATGAAATTGAAATATTTCAATTTCGCAAGATCTTCTATTAATGTAAATGATAAATTTTTATCAATTACCTTATTTTATGTTAAAAATCAATAAAATTAAAAATACAATAACAAAATTTAATGAAATTGAAATACAAGATAAAAATAAATATTGATCAATAATACAATAGCTAATTTGAACTTAATCCAAAATATTAGTAACTAGTATTAAAGTAGTGTTCTTTTTTTTTTTTTTGAATGAAATTATGTTGAAGCAAATTGCTTTTCGAAAATAGAGAAAAAAAAAAAAAAAGAAGGCTTCTTGAAAAATTTAAAGGTTAGACTCGTCCAATGGCAAACCCAAAACGGGTTACAGAGTTTGGGGTGGCTTTGGGTTACCCGGATAGGCCAACGAATCCAGATAAGCCCATGAAAGCGAAGTTAGTGCTTTCACTTGTACAAGACCAATCTGTGCATTTCCGAGGTTTCTAGCTAGGGTTTTTTATTTCTCTACTTTCATCTTCATTCTCTCTCTTCATTTTTTTTCTTTTTATTTCCCCAAAAAAGAATAAAATAAAATGACGAAATTCAGGAAGCTTAATCGACCCACGGGTCATCGTATGTCCATGCTCAGGTTCTTCTTTCTCTTCAATATCTCACCTTTTTTCCTTTTTTAATTTATAAATTTGATAGTTTGATTTTTTTCTCCTTTTTTTTAATTTTAATTTTTTTTCTTTTTTTTAATTGCAGAACAATGGTTTCCCAGTTGGTAAAGCACGAGCGCATTGAAACTACTGTTGCCAAGGTTCTTTCTTTTTTAAGGTTTTTCTGGAGTTTTAATGTTTTTCTTTTATTTATTTGTATTTCCTTTTCTTTTAAGTTTTTTTTTTTCCTGTTAATAGGTTTCTCCCAATTGAGTCATTAAATCTGGGTTTTATTTATTTTACCTGAATTTATCTGAGTTTATGTCTCTTTTAATGTATATAGGTATTAAACTTTACATGGATCTTACATATTATTTCCTTTTTTTCTTACTTAATCCATTGCAGGCGAAGGAGATTCGACGACTTGCGGATAACATGGTACAGCTTGGGAAAGAGGTATTTGCAACATATTGTTTTAATTTTTTTTTTTACTTTTGTAATTGTTACAATCAATTAGAGCAAGTGTTTCTTTAGTTAGGCTACATAGGAAAAATTTTCTTCCTTTCTAATGTTGACATGGATAATGTTTCAGGATGGCAAATGAATGTGGCTCTTTCATTAATTTCTCGGTGGTGTGGCATTTGTCTATTTGTAGCTTGATATTCACTTTGGAAATTTTTTAAGCAAATCAAGTTTGTTAATTTGGTGCTTTTGTGTGGAAGTAATTGATATTTTTAGAACTTGCATGCAACAGAATTGCAATGATAAAAGCAATGGATTTTAGGTTTAACTCCAATTATGGGTTTTCGTTTAATGTAGAAATTCATTATGGCCCAATGGCTTGAAATTTTTGAACTTTTAACTTGGACTATCTCTAGTCCAGGATAGAACATTTGTTACTAAAGTCCTACTTTAATTGACATCTGAGAATTGGACACAGTAGGGTAGAAGTTTGAATGGTTTTGCACATTTTTTCTACATTTGACTGTTGTATCCACTTATAACCATGATCATGGGAAAATTTTAAAACAGCCTGAAATTCTAATATTTGCCTGATGTTGATTTTGAAGTTGCCTTTGGAGGTGAAGGTTATGGTTTAATTATCTGCCTAAGATTCTGTGAAACTCTTTTAGCAGCAAATTTGTATGTGTCATGTTGTAGTTGTTGCCCATATCTAGATTGTTTACATTGGTCAAAGATTCAAGAGAATATGTAGGATAGTGATTGATGATCTTGATCTGGTTTTTGGTCTTTACAGATGTTTAATACGAGAGTAGGCACTTAGAACCTTTCTTGTTTCACAACATCTCTTTATAAGAACCTTTCTTGTTTCACAAGACATCTCTTTATAAGGCATCTGAAAATGGTGTAATGGTCATCAGAGGTTGTGATTGTTAAGTATCTGAAGATGAGTCTATAGTATCATTGATAAATCAATGAAAAGCTCTTGGATGCTTTCATTTTTTGGTGGTTAAAAATGCAACAAAATGGCCAAATCTATTTACAAATTAATGCATGTATTTTGCTGACTCCTATTATTAAACTGGGGCTGGAGACTTAATTTCTTTTTTTGCATTATAAACTCTGTTGTTATGTTGTGGTATTGTTTCTTTTGATTAAATCTGATTTTTCAACATTGCCTTATTCCATTTCTGAATTCTTTAAGGGTTCACTTTCTGCTGCAAGGCATGCTGCTGCTTTTGTGCGAGGGGATGATGTCATTCACAAGCTATTTACTGAACTGGCATATCGATACAAGTGAATACTCTACGTTTTTCTTTCTTTGTTATTTATTGTTATGTCATATTGATTCAATCCTATGTGTTACAGAGATAGAGCAGGTGGATATACAAGACTGCTTCGAACTCGCATTCGAGTTGGTGATGCTGCACCAATGGCCTATATAGAGTAAGGCTATTTATTTTGCTAATTGCAAGTTGCTTGTTCAAACATTAACTGATTAACTGAATTAGAAAGGTTAATTCAGTTGGTAGTCAAATTAATTGAAATATTAGGGCTTGTAGGACTTAATGCACTTGAGCCCAATTTTCTTAGTTTCATTTTGTTCTATGCCGAGGCAAAGTAAATAAAATTAAATTATGGAAACCCCATAAGAACAGAAGCTTAAAAACATTGAAATGTTCACCATACATACTTAAAAACATTAAAATGTCTCAACAAATGTAAATAAAAATACACTAAGAGGATTTTTTAATTATAAATTTTACTTTTTTTTTAAGATAAGGTGTATTTGGTTGGCTTGTATTGTATATACATATTGAGCTTAGATCCTATATACATCATGGGCTTCAACCCTGAAAGATGCCTATATTAATTCATATCACTATTAAAATATTTCAAAAGTTAAAACCAAAACTGACTGAATTAGTTCAAGTAACCAAGCTCACTTTTGAATTTAACCGAGTAACTGAATTAACTGAACTGTTTTAACTGAATTTCTTCAATTAATTTGGTTAATCCGGTTTTAACTGAATATTGCTAACCCAATGATTGAATATCTACTCTCGGTGGATCATGCACCTTGAGATTTGTGATTTTTGAGTTCAAAATATATTTGGCAATGTAGACTAATGTCTGGTGTCAGACATCTAAGATCAGATGTGCTCTGCATGTACATGAGCAGATGTTTTGCTTCTCTTTTTTATTTTGAGAATACTGAACAAATGTTTAGCTGTGCTACTGAAGGGTTGATAAAATATGCATGTTCACAAAACAAAGACACGGAGCATACATTTTGATGATTTGCTTGCACATTTGAACAGGTTTATTGACAGAGAAAATGAGCTTAGACAGTCAAAGCCACCAACTCCTCAGCCACCGCAGAGACCTCCCCTTGATCCTTGGACAAGATCCCGTCTTAGTAGGCAGTTTGCACCCCCTAAAGAGGAGAAAAGCTCTGAATCTGAGATATAAATCATGAGCCCTTTTTCTCAGTGTTCTATCAATTTTTCAGATACAGCATTTGTGGATTATCCTGATGCAGCAGAAATAAGCATGCTGGGCAGAGTATATGTCAATATGGCATCCCATGTCTTACCTGCGTCTTGGGGGAAGGTCCTGTAAGCATGGAATAAAGTATTACTTTTGTTTTTTTAATAATTATGTGAAATGATTTTAAATGTTGTTAAAATTGAATGCATTCTCGGTTTTAGTATCTACCCTTACAGTTCAGTGCGATGAGTTCTGGCAGTTTGTTAATCCGTAGTAAAACATGTCGGGGCAACTCCTTGTTTTTATGCTATAATTGTTTCTGGATGTGCAGGAAAATATGATCCTGCCCTGGTGTCGGACTATTGACCCTCTTTTCGTTGTGTTTTGAGGTCTTTGCTTGGTCTGAAATTCTAAGTTTTGGCCTCATCCATTTCTTCAGCCTGCGTCTGGCGACATTGGCTTTAGTTAGACTGATGAAGTGAGAATTGCATCAGAATTGCGTCCGAATATTTGGCTCTATGGTTGGTGTTTATTGTATTCTTTTACAAAGTGCCGAGCTGGAAATTTACCAGCACTCAAAAATTTAAAAAGAAAAAAAAGATAAAATGAGAGTCAGGGATCAGTGTTGTTGAATGCAAAAGGCTGCTATGTTGGTTCTTTTCTTTTGGATTTTGGACGGGATTACTGACACCCAAGCAAGGGCTGCAGCCTGACTCAGGCGCTTGTCTCCAACCACTTGAGGAAATCTAAATTGGGAAGCAAGCAATTTAACATTTTTCCATGCAAAAAGAAAAGGGAGTGGCAACAGAGCAACATGTCGGCGGTGACTTAAGATACAACAAGTGAGGAAATTCATCACTTATCCAAACAAATTAAGTTTCCAGATCCTACTCTTCCAAAGCATTCATATTTGACTCTCAAATTAGCCTCGGAAGTGTTCTCCAATTTGACCCAAAAAGCAATAAATTTTCAATCTCCAATTCTCTCGGCTATCATACAGGAGTAGGCCTTATTAATGAAGACTGTTCATTATTAATATGTCTTAAAATGTTACGCTCGGTTGTCTTAAACTCAAAATATGAAAATCATAAGAGATGTTTAAAATGCAAATCTTATTGTATATTAAAAATTAATTGGATTGGTTTCAACTTGAATATATATATATATATATATATGTGTGTATGTGTGTGTGTGTGTGTGTAATTATTTGTCATTATATTTTTTTTTATTCTCTGAAATTTAAGATTGAATTACTTGGCTTTATATTTCTCCAAAAAAAAATGTATTAGTTGGCTTTATTACTTGCAAAAACATTGAATCTTACATTAATTTTACAATTAAAACATGAAAAATGTGTAAATGTAATGTCCAAAACTTTAAACCCTCGTCAAAAAGCTATAAAGATACACCCATTATAGGTTATCCGCCGTAGTTTTGCACAATACAATAGTTGAGAATTTGCTTGATGATTTTTCAGGTTTGGGATTTTGGTACAAATTATTGTCAGCATGACTGATTTACCAAGCATTAACATCCAAAATCTAAATGAGACAAACGCTTGAAGTACATTAGTCTTAGGAATCATCATAATTAGCAGCTTGTTTTTCTCATCACAGACAAGGCAGCTAGCCTAGCAGCAGCATTTCTAACCCTCCAGGCCAAATCCTAGCCTTCCATCACAAAAGTTACACATACGTTGTCACATCCCTGTATTCTCTCTTTATTTTTATCTCATCCATCTACTATTCTTTTTTAGTCCGAATAAATTCGGGAATAGATTGGTTTTTCTGGTAATTAATGTTGAAAATTAAAATTGTTAAAAAAATTCGATAACACCAGGATAGATTATAGGCTAATGTTTAATTTGAATAGGTGGTTCTCACCCTTTCGTCATTGAATTCAGTGTCGTTCTGATGCTTATGATGCCTAAAACGCATATGTTGGCATTCCTTCACCAGATGACATTATGATAAACGTTAAAATTGAAAATCATTTAGTATAAATGGAGAGTAGTTTTATGAATTGAGTGAATTCTCACATGGTTCGTGATCTGTTATTGTTTAATTTCTACTACCATTCCTATTCCAAAGATCAAAGACCAAAGAGTAGTGTAGTTATCATTGCTCCACGTTTCGCCTTTTGGTGAGCTTAAACCCCTAATTATTACCTTGATTTTCTATAACATTGCTTAACATTTTAGCATTTTCTCCAAATTATGTGTTGTTTTTCCCTTTTAGATGCATATATAGAATATAAAATCCAAAAAGTTTGTTTCAATTAATTATATGCTAATCTCAGTTGTTTCAATTAACCATCTAATTAATCATAAGTTTGACTTTGTGTTTGGTGAAATATAGTTATTCAAAGGACCATTAAACCTACACGTTTTCCCCATTATTCATATGACTTTTGCAATAAGAAAAATGCAAGATTGAAACAGTAATCGAATGAAAAATTAGTTCATGTTGTTATTCCAGAACTGTGAATTAGGTGTCAGAGGGCTCCCCCTCTCACTAAACAAGGCAACAACCTTTGAGTTTTCCAACAAGATTAATGAAAACAAAACAGAAAGAAAATGTCATAAAACTGCTGCAAAAAAGAAATCTGAACAAAAATGGTCTTGTCTTGTGACTTGGGAGGTAAATAATTAAAAGTGAAATTTACTATTTTTACAGTTTGGATTTACAGTCATTGGTTTTTTCTTAATATCTAAACTCTTAATCCAAATCCCCTTCTATCATCAACCAAACTAGTTATTTTCATTAACCTAATCTGTCAACTACTCTTCAAACATGACAAATTATTTCTTTTAAATCAGTTTTTTTTTTTTTTACTGGATCGATAACATAATTTGCCAAAGATCATTTCAGCATTGATTACTTTAGTTAGTGGCCCAACCAAAACGTTAATAACCTAATTTAATCTCATTTGGAGACAAATCAAGTTTTACATAGTTAACAACTATAGGTTTTGATATAATTAAGAATAACGTATGTATGTTTGATGATCACACGTCTTGAATTTAAATCTTAACATGTATAAATAAAATAAGTTATAAAATGAAAGAGAGTTAATTCTTGGTGTCTAAATTAATATATACACATCATATATATTTAATTGAAAACCATTCCAATATTGAAAGTGAAATTATAAATTCATTATTAATGAACCTTAGAAATGTAAAAGTTAGTGTCTTTTAAGTTGTTAAAATGATCAATGTTGGAAATAAAGTTGCCAATTCTCTGGGGGGAATTTTTAAGGCACTCCTTAAAGCAACGCACTGATATATTTTTTTCCCCTAGAGTTTTTAAAGAAAAAAAGGAAAAAAAAAAAAAAGAGAGAGAAAGCAAAGGAGGATAATTTCTTGTGGTAATGGAACTGATATAGATATATTTAAGAAGTGCGTGATGGGTGCAAGTCGTTCTGGTGCAGCCCCACAGACCAAATTGGTAAAAACTAAAATATTAGTAAATAAATAAATAAGAGAATTATGTGATACACATCTAAAAATTAAAAAAAAAATAGTTGGTAGGAAATCAAAACTAAAATGAGTGTTGAAAACTGAAGTAAATAATTGAAAATTTCAGATAGAAGTTGTTGGAAATAATGACTCAAATCTCATAAGAGATTTGTTTGAGATTTGTTAGAGATTTGTTTGGGATTTGTCAGATATTACTTGATGGACAAGAAGATTTGCAAAAGAAGAATTCCAAGAAAAAGAGGATTCTTAATAGGTAAGTTTGACTTGCAAGAGAAGAATTGTAAAAGGAAATGGATTCTTAATAGGCAAGTTTGACTTACAGGAGAAGAATTCTAAGAGGAGAGGGATTCTTAATGGGCAAGTTTGTATGATTATAAATAGGTAAAGTCTCTACAGTGTTAGGTATAAGAAAAAGATGTAAGAGAGTTGCAAGGTTTTATGGGATAGACACCCCATAGGAGTATGGGGCTCTACGTCTTATGGGTGTGTATGTTTGTTTATGAGTGTATTAGAGGAGACTGAGAGGGTCCACATAGGTATGATGTATGGGAGCATATGGGTATGTGTTTGGTTATATTGAAAGGGTGCACAAGGATTTGGGTTTGTGTTTGTTTGGGTTGAGAATACTCCATAGGACTAGAGGAGATTGAGAGTGTCTTATGAGTATTGATTGTTGAGTGAGGTTGATGATTTGATGTAAGTTTGTAATTCTCTATAACTAGTAGATCTTGTTTCTCATCCGTGGATGTAGGTCAGTTGAACCAAACCACGTTAAATTATTGTCTCTTGTGTGTTTGATTTATTATTTGATTTCGCTTCCGTTGGTGTGATTGGATTGGAGGCTTTTAGCCCAATAAATGGTATCAGAGCTGTGATGTTCCCAAACAGAAGTTACTCTAGTCTATAATAGAAAAATGCTTCTGATGTTACTCATGTGCTGTTTTTGCTTCTCAAATTTCTGAATTTTTTTTTCTTTTTTGTAATGCTCTTATGCCAGATGCTTTCCCCCATAGAGTAGCAGCTAATTGCCTTTTTTTCCTCTCCTTTTATTTATTTATTTTCTATTTTTCCATTCTTTGTGTATCATCAGATGCTGCATGCATGCCCCAGCTGCTAACAGCTTAAAAATGAGAGGAGTTATGGGAAACTTACCTCGTTCTGTCGAGACTAGACACCGATTATCCGCATCAATGTGAGGTCCTTCTTTCATTGCCATCTTTCTAATTGTTGTTTAAATTTAAATCACAATAGTTGTCAGTCAGTGCTTAGAATTTACAGTTTCAGCATCGAGTTTTCTTTATTAGTTTTTTCAATATTTTTTGGAGGAATTCATCACCGAATTTGTCCTGCAAACCCTTTTTTATTACAATGCTGTAGTACTATAGCTTATATTGTGATTTCAGTGGACTGATTAAGCAAACAGCCTTGAGTTTGATATGATTCATCAATCTTAGCTTCTCCTTAGGTTCCTTGGATCTTTCTTAGCAGCAGAACTGGAAACTGTTTGACCTACAAATCTTAGCTTTTTATTGTTAATCTCAGTTTCTAAGGAATTATACAGGTTTTTTTTCATTTTTTTTTTTCAAATGAGACCGTAGTTTGCAAACAAAGAAAAAGAATGCAGGTTTTGAAATTTGAAGTTGAACCTAATGAATATCAATTTTTAAGATGATTGCATGACCGGCTGAGTTAATTCAATTACACAATTATCTTTGCTCTTAATGCTTAGTAGTAAAACAAGCAGCTTATTTGTCTAGAGCTCTGAACTTCTGTTTCCAATGATTGACCAACCGCATGCCGCTGCCTTTAACCGTGTGGTTTTCATCTTGATGACAAACCAATTTTGGTCAAAAAAGATTCCTACTGAGGTACAAATGTCAAAATCACTGCTAATATTTACATTGCAGCAGAGGCCTCTAAGAGTTTGCTTCTGCTTTGTAACATATTGATATGTGAACTTAGATTGTTTCTTTAGTTGCAAGTCAGGTTTTAAATATAAATCTTTCCAGTTTTTCTGTTATTTTTATTCATGTTGAGTTTGTTGAAGACCGACCTTTAAGAGATTTAATTAATTTTGGCTCAATGAAGGAAGACTTTATTCTTCTCAACTAGAATGTTTTTTCATTGCCTTGAAACTTCAAATTAATTAAAAAAATGTGTATATGGATTTTAATCACAACATAAAAATGATATGAAAATTTTTTTTTTAAAATTTTAGTAAAAATAGTATATGGGTTTGGAAAAAAAAAAAAAAAAAAACGTATTTCATAATTTAACGTCTGAACATGAATATTAATACTATAATTTTTGTATTTTACATATGATTGACATAAAAAAAAATATAATATAGATACATAAATTGCCAAATCTAGAATAATTAATTAGTGGTTTGATTATAAAAAATGCAGGTGGCTTAATTGTTTGTATTCATTCTTATTCAACGTATGAATTCGACTCTCTACTCTGGCATTTGGATGGCTTAAGGTATGACAATAAATCGAACTAATTAGCTTGCTCAAGTTCGTGTCCCCCATTAGCACGTTTAATAGGCTTCAGATCAAATTATGAGTCCAAATTGACTTAAAGAGAGCAATTCATGAAATTTTGTCCCTCTAGCTAGACTTTTTTTTTCGAGATTATCAGTACTTGTACTTTGATAACGAGAATTAAGAGTTTAGCATTCTATCAACAGATCATAGACTGTTGACTAATCCTTTCTTAATTCATCAAAAAGGGTAGGTAATCTTTTTTCACACTCTGAGGGAGTACTATGATTAGAACCTAATATGTTTAGTGGCTTTAATTGACTGGTGTTTCCTTTTGGTTGGATATTTTGGACTCAATATATTGGGACATGGTATGCTTTTAGGATGGTGATCAGGGACATTTTGTCTAACAATTGAAAGATAAAAATTCAATTACTTCAATACCTCGCGTCTAAAAGATTGAAAATAAAAGCCACCAACTGAAGATTTCTATCCACCACATATGATCAATATGCACTGACAGCATCCCTCATTGATTTATGCTGATTATATCCAATAACTTACACAATTAGATGGCCAGATCTTATTTTATTTTAGCTTAATTTTTGTGCAAAAATCTGAAAAATAAGACTTCTACAGATTATTTTGGGAAGATACTTTGAACCTATGTTTTACAGGGGTAGAACAAGTGCATACACCAAACAAAGGGTTGAACCTATGTTTTCATTCTTTACTAGTTATTTCTCTGCTTTTTTTTTTCTTTTATTTCTTTTACAGCATCTTATTTTTTTTTCTCAATTACTCTCATTGCAGCGAGGCCATATATAAAAGGAGGTTAAATAAAAATAAAGTAAAAGGTGTTGAGAAGCCATTCCACATCCCAATCCAAGTTCGGAACTCATGCTGCAAATATACTCTGCTGAAACTTGTCTTGGCTGTTATTGTATGTGGCTAACGCTTTTGTACTCTCCAGAGGTCTATAACAATGACCATCTATCAGGCACAAAATCTCGGCATGTATCCTCTTGCTTTAACAATATATGGGTTCACAGTAGCTAAGTAAATTGTGAAGGCATTTTAGCATATATTCGAAACATGACATTAAGGGAATCAAATAGTGAACCAATGATTAATGAAAGGTATACTCCATGCAGGCGAAATTTTATGAACAGGTGGATATGGGGAGAAGCAGATTTTCCATATGTATCAGATGTTGATACCAACTGGAATGATGCCATGAAAGCTATAGAGAAGATGGACGAACAGAACGGCTACCAGGGAATTGGACTTTTGAACTTCAATAATACTGAAGTCACTCATTGGAAGCACCTAATACCGATGCCAAATACATTGTTCTGCGCCTGAACTATGCTGACATGATTGTAACTTGGGATCCTTGCATCCAGAATGGATTGATGAGGAGCAAGAACCAGACGTCCCGGTTTGCCCATCTCTACCTAAGCTTGAAGTCCCTGGAAAACGTCTTGATCTGATTGCTGTCAAGCTTCCTTGCAGAAATCAGGGGAATTGGTCTAGGGATGTTGCTCGGCTGCATTTGCAGCTGGCAGCTGCTAGTCTTGCAACGTCTACCAAGGGCTTTTATCCGGTTCATGTGCGTTTTGTTTCAAAGTGCTTTCCCATTCCAAACATGTTCACTTGCAAAGAACTTGTAGCACGTGAAAAGAATGTCTGGTTGTACAAACCAGACTTGAATGTGTTGAGAGAAAAGCTCCAGTTTCCAGCAGGATCTTTTGAACTTGCACTTCCTATCGGGGTCAAAGGTCAGTTCTAATCCAGTTTTTAGGTTAGCACTATCTCTGAATTTAGAGATTCTTTATGTTTCATCACTAGTAGTTATAAAAGCTATTACATTATGTTAAATACAGAGTTATTCTGGGAATCCATCTCTAGAAGCATATGCTACAGTTCTCCATTCAGCTCATGTATATGTATGTGGAGCTATAGCTGCTGCTCAAAGCATCCGCATGTCTGGCTCAAACCGAGACCTTGTGATACTTGTAGATGAGACAATCAGTGTTTATCACAGGAGTGGATTGAGGCAGCTGGATGGAAAGTCAGGACAATTCAAAGGATCAGGAATCCAAAAGCAGAAAACGATGTTTACAACGAATGGAACTACAGCAAGTTCCGCTTATGGCAGCTGACAGATTATGACAAAATCATATTCATTGATGCAGATCTGCTTATACTTCGAAACATTGATTTCCTATTCTGGATGCCCGAAATATCAGCTACAGGAAATAATGGCACACTCTTTTACTCCGGTGTCATGGTCATTGAGCCTTCAAATTGCACCTTCCAGCTTTTGATGGAACACATTGATGTGTTTGAATCTTATAATGGTGGGGATCAGGGATACTTAAACGAGATTTTCACATGGTGGTACCGGATTTCACGACGCATGAATTTTCTGAAGCATTTTTGGATTGGTGATGAGGAAGTGGTTAAGCAAAAGAAAACTCCCCTTTTCGGTGCTGAACCACCTATTCTTTATGTACTTCACTACCTAGGTAAAAAGCCATGGTTGTGCTTCAAGGATTATGATTGCAATTGGAATGTAGATATAATGCTAGAGTTTGCTAGTGATGTTACCGTGAAAGATGGTGGAAAGTCCATGATGCAATGCCTAAGCAATTACACCAGTTCTGCATGTTAAGGTCAAAGCAAAAGGCACAATTAGAATTTGAGAGAAGGCAAGCTGAAAAGGCAAATTTCAGTGATGGTCACTGGAGAATCAAAGTTCAGGACAAGCGCTTAAAGAAGTGTATCGACAATTTATGTTCCTGGAAGAGTATGCTAAAAGTCTGGGGTGAGACTAACTGGACTAATGATGAATTTTTTGTTCCAACACCTCCTGCAATCAACACTGCATCTCTCTCAGGCATGACGTGTAAGTACCAACTCCTCATGCCTTCTTTATGTAAAATGACACAGAGTTATCTCATATATGGCTCATTTAGTCATTTTCAGAAGATTGCAAATCCTGATCATTTGGTTAATGGAGAAAGTAACACACAAATCAAACCTCCAATGGAAAATCAGAAATAGTTCTAAAATACAAGAAGTGTTTTTCAATGCAATCAATGACAATTCAAACAACAATCTTGGCATGAACGTGAAGCAACTAAAACCGTAGAAGTATGCAAAACCATCGGATTAGGCACGAGGCTGCAGTCAACACACTTCAAGTAGCATCTATATATAATATGCACACTTTCTCACATTCCAATTATGGCTTCTATTAAGACCAATTATTTTCCCTATTTTCCTCTGCCACCACCCCATGATCCTCCATTTCCTCCAAAAGTACTCCCACCACCTCCTTCCCCTCCAAAGCTGACGCCTCCTTATAAACCCCCAACTCCTCCAAAAGTGGCACCACCAACTCCAAGCCATCCCAATGTTGCACCACCCCATACTATTCCAACCCCTCCCAAGGTGCAATCACCTCCTCCTAATTCCCCATTTTCCCCCAAAGTACCATCGTCTCCTCCAAAAGTACCTCCTCCGGCACCACATTATCCTACACCACCACAACCTCATCCAGTGCCAGCACCACCACATCATCCATTCTATCCATTACCACCTGCAGCAAAACCACCTCTCTCTCCTATTGTGGCACCACCACCGCCTTACTCTATTTCTCCACCATCACCACCTCAAGTAATTCCACCTCCATCACCAGCACCCGGACATCATTCAAATGTAATAGTCGTTGTCTTTGTTTCACTCGGCGGTCTGTTCTTTCTTGCATTCCTCTCGGTTGCTCTATGCTGCTTCATCAAGAAGAGAAAGAAGAAAATGGTTCAGAAAACAGAAATAGTAAGCATAGATGAACATGTGAAAATCCAGGAAACCATTGTACCAGGCCGTCATGGTGAACAAAACGAGGTATTACTCATAGAAGAGGATCTTCATATTGAAGAAGAAATCAAGAAAAGCAAAAAGTTTAGTGAAGGAATGTCACATTCACAAGAAATTTCTCACCGTCAACCTTCCGATATGGATAGGGCGGCAGCACAGCCTCCTGGCCCCGCTCATCATCACCATCTTAAGTTATGAAAGTGGATGGCATCAGCACCAAACAAAGAGCTCGCTTGTCATGCTACTTAATAATAATCCTGCTATGTTTAAGGCATGGAATGGAATATTTTTATTGAATTCCCCATATTTGTTAAAAGTGTTTTGATCGAATAAATTAAAAAACTAGTAATATATACTTCCTTTTCTGAATCAATTATATCAAATTAAAGAAGATTGATGAAGTTAACTGATAACTGCTGAATTAATCATAGGTTTTTCAAAATTGAAAATATACAAGCATAATAGTTTTCCAACTAGGATGAAAACAAATAAAAAGAACATTAGCTAAACCAATTATAACAATATAAAATCAAAGGATCACCACTTTGTTATTGATATTATTTTTAAACAAGTATACTATTTTACTATAATCATCCTCGCTTTGCATGGTGCAATTACAAAATGCGCATTTGATTCAACTATTGTTAAAACACATAGAAGAGTTAGGTTTAAATTTATTTAAATTAAAAAATTCTTAAACTTTTGTAAAAAATCATGAAATTATTATTTAACTAGTTTTAAACCCATATTATGCACAGGCAAACAAATCAATTATATATATATATATATATATATTTACATACACTGCTATTTAAAAAGTAAAGGATTATTTATTAAAAAACAAAATTTTTATTTTAAAAAATAGTATATTAATAAATTTGATAAGAAATTGTATTTTCATAATAATATATAATGTTAGAAATCTCATTTTGTAATATATGTATATATATGTATGTATGTATGTATGTATGTATGTGAAGAGGAATAAACTTATACCAATATAAAACTTTTTAGTTTTATATTTTTTTTAAACATTGATTTCAATAAATTCAAGAGATGAGGTTAAATCATTTTTTTTTTTTACTTATCTCCCTCATCTCTTATATCTATTGAAATTAATGATAAAAAAAAGATCTAAAACTTTTTTGATGTAAATTATCCCTCTTATATATATAATGGTATATTTAGGAGAATTTAACCTATTGGTATCTATAAATTAATAATTTAATATTCATATTTATCTCATCTTTATTATAAATTTATAATTTAATAAATACAATTGAATTATCTTACTTTTTATCTTTATAAAACTAAAACACATAAAATTTCAAAAGAAATTATGTGAAACAATTGTTATGTATTAAAACAAATACCATATTTATTTGATTAGTGAAATTTTAATCAAAATTAGTATTTGATTGACTTAATTAAGAAAATAATTGAAATGAGTTAAGTCAACATACAATTATAAGAAAAAAATATTGGAAATGAAAATCAATTATTTATTTTAAGGTTCCATTGCTTTTTTTTTTAATTAGAAAATCTCTCCAAAATATTTTTTAGATACAATTTTTTATTGATATTTTTTGGACAAACATAAAAAAGGAGTTGTTTTGACACCTATTTGGCAATATATTTTTAGTACTTGCAATTATATGAATTAAGATATAAAAATTAAAATACAAATATTGTAATAAAAAGTGCATAATAAAATGTTGAATCAATGTTTTTTGAATTATTTTGGTGAAAATAAATGCATCACTTACCTTAAAATATATATTACTTATCTTGTTATATATTAGAAAATTGAAAATAAAGTGTTACTTCTGTCTTTTAACAATTTTCATTAATAATAAAATTTATTTAATTGTTTGTTATGAATCATGTTAAATTTTAAATAGCCAAATTGTCTAAGTTATTATTTTTAAATTTTTAAATCATCAAATAATGATGCATATATTAGAAAATACACATTAAGCACACCATATATTTCTTATTTAATTCTTTTATTCAATAGCAATTGAATTAACCATGACCAAATAGTTGATCTTGACAAAATTGTTGACAAAAGACATCCTTTCATGGTATAAGTGAAAGCAATTAACATCTTAACTTAAAACTTATGCCATTGTACCAAAAAAAAATTATGTTATTGATTCATACAAAGCAACTTAAACAAAAAATATATAATAGAATAAAACCACATATGTTAAACATAAATAAACATATTTTTTGAATAAACTAAAAATAAAAGGCAAAATCTTAAAGCGAAAGTAAAAAAAAAAAATTATGTTTTCTTCCCTGTTTCATGA